GCCCGGAGGCGCGGGGTATCGCCATGCCTGGTGTATTGACAAGGCGGTGGATATGACAAACGAGAAGTTTGAAGAAAATCTCTTTAAACTCATCTACTGTCCTTCAAAAGATCAACTAGCCGACATTTTCACTAAACCCCTAGATAAAGTAAAATTTTCAAGATTCCGTAATAACCTAATGTTTCAAAACCTATCAATTTTTCTTTCTATGCTGTACTGACCTTTATTGTTCACAACAATAATTTTTTCAGATGTGCCATATGGGCAATAATATTTATTTATTTTTTGTTCAACATTATAACTTATGCTGCTGTTAAAGGTGGATTCAGAGTTCACAAGATGCGAGCGTGATTCTCACGCCGCTAGCGTGAAAAGAGTTGTTTTGGTAAGCAGTTGACCTTATGCAACAGCCAATAATAGGACGACGTGGGGCTATGCCATTATTTTTAGCTGAATCAGCTTCGGAGCTAGCGTGATTTTCACGCAAGCGTCTGCTAGCAGCGTGATTTTCACGCAAGTTCGAAGGGGCACTTGGGAGATATTGGAGAATGTGCACTTTCGAACTTGCGTGAAAATTACGCTGCTAGCAGACGCCTGCGTGAAAATCACGCCGGTGGCGTGAAAATCACGCTGCTAGCAGACGCTAGCGTGAAAATCACGCCGGAAGCGTGAAAAGTCGCGCTAGCTCCAAAGCTGATTCAGCTGAAAATAATGGCATAGCCCCACGGCGGCCTGTTATTGGCTTTTGCATGAAGTCAACTGCTAACCAAAACAACTCTTTTCACGCTAGCGGCGTGAAAATCACGCTCGCATCTTGTGAGCTCTGAATCCATCTTAAGGAGGAGTGTTAAAACTCAACCCTTCAGATAGTTTGTTATTGTACGTATAACAGCAGAAGCCAAATGTTTATTTATGTTTTTCTTTCTATCACAGCCTTGTATAGAGTATTTTAATGCTTGTTGTTCTTCCCTTTGTTTTTTGTTTCAACTGTTCTCAAATATATATTTTTGTTCTCACTACCACTCTGGACTTGACCTTCCTCACGCCGTTTTTGACATCTGTCATCTGTGTATTATATAGTGATCCTACATATGGTATTTACTGTATATGTGTTATTAAATAGGTTTGTGGTATAGTGATATGAATTGATTATTATTTACTGCCTTATCAAACTGAGAATGTTCACCTTAAATACATCAAGGGGAAATAGGCTCCAAAAATTTGTACACCCGAAGTCGAAGTTCATGAACTTCGGCTGAAGTTCACTGAAGTTCGGCCGAAGTTCACTGAAGTTCG